ACGGGCTTGCAGCACACAGGGGTGCGGCAGGCTCCCTGGCAGGGGGAGGAGGTGCCGCAGGAGCTGGTGCAGGCTGGCTGGCACGGGCTGCACACGCAGCTCGCAGGGGTGCAGAGGAGGGTCAGGCAGGGGGCGGGAGTGCAGCAGCTGGGGGCGCAGCAGGGGGGCTCGCAGAAGCTCTCTGGGCAGTCGCCCCCCTGCCAGGAGGAGCCGGGGCAGGAGTCAGGGGCCCCGGGCAGGCAGACGCGGCTGCCGTAGCTCAGGTCGCTGGAGCAGACGGACAGGGTGGACGTGGCCATGGTGGGGGCGGGGTTGGAGGAGGGTGCGTGTGAGTGTGTGTGTGTGAGTGTGAGTGTGTGAGGAGCTCCGGCTGGCTGTCGGCTTTTATACTCCCAGGCTTGTGTTGTCACCAAGACTTCCCTTTCCTTGTTGGTGTTTTGACTGAGTCCTGAGAGTGTTTATTACCTCTGGTTTATTTACACAAGACTTTGCTGCTTAGAAAATGCCTGTTGTGGTTAAGGACCGGTTGGCCCCTGACTACGTTTAGTTCTCTAAGCAAACACCAGAGGAAAAATCTAGAGTCCCGAAGCCCTGCGGCCGTGCAGCCTGCCCACTGCCCACTGTGCACCGTGCTGCCGGGGGGGCTGCGGGGTTGCTGGTAAGGACCTTGCACCCCGGCGTGTCAGCGGGCGGGCGGGTGGACACACGGGCAGCTCTGTGCTTCGGCTGCAGGACTTCCGCACACACTGAGTGCTGAGTGGCGGTCAGGACAGTCAGGGGTGAATGGGAAGGTGGGACAGATGTTTCAGCACAGAACGACGGAGACAAGTTGTGCAAACCCAAAGAGAAACGGACGCTGTGCATCCGTCCGGTGTTCATCAGAGAAGCTCTCCGGGAAGACAAATCAGCCAAAGGCAACATTTCTCGGAGCAGAAGGAGATGTGGTCCTGGGAGGTGGGCTCAGACTGATCGCGGGAGAGGATGCTGAGTCTGGACATGCTGGCCAGCTCTCTCACAAAACCTAAAGAAGCGTCCTGGAAGCTTCCAGAGAGATCCGCATCCCACTTCAACGCAGCGAACCGAGATGCCTGAAGGCCTGGAGCCACATCTTCGAAGCTGGAGGGAGGTGGGTTCGATTGTGCGGCTGCACCGAGCCCTCTGGTGCACGGGATGGGGAGCGGGGCGTTTCTAGTACCGAGGCGCCGAGCGGAAGCCCCTTGTGTCCCCCATCCCGGCAACACAGCCGGTCAGTTAAGCGTCCGGCTCTTGATCTCGTCTCAGGTCATGATCTCACAGTTCGTGGGTTCGAGCCCTGAGTCAGGCTCTGTGCTGACAGCACTGAGCCTGCTGGGGATTCTCTCTCTCCCTCTCTCTCTGCCCCTCCCCTGCTTGCACGCACAGCCAAACTATTTTGTGTCCTTCACCCCCAACAGCCTTGGAGAGTTCTAGTTGCTGCATGTCACCGGCAGCACTCGAGGCCGCCTGCGTTCTGTTAAACAGTAGGCGCTCTCATCGGTGAGCAGGGGTATCTTCCTGTAATTTCCTTGCATCACCCTGACGGCTAATGGTGTCAAGCATCTTTCGTGTGTTCACGTGCCATCCATGCGTCTTTTTGGTATTCCTTTGAGTGTCCAGGCCCCTTCCTTTCTTAGGTTTTCTTGACATTGAATTTTGAGAGCCCTTTGTGCATTGTAGATGTGTGCACTGGACCCTTGAACAACATGGGAGTGGGGGCCCTGACCCCCCCACCGTCAGACATTCGTGTATAACTTTGACTCCCCAAGGACTTGACAGTTTGTCACCTGCTGTTGACCAGAGGTCCTACTGATCACACACACAGCCGTTTAACACATATTGTATGTTACTTATGTCATATGCTCATTCCCACAGTGAGGCAAGCTAGGGAAGATGTCGTTACGAAAACCACCAGGAAGAGAAAAGACATTCAGGGTGCTGTGCCATGCTTACCGAAAGCACCCAGGTTTAAGGGGGCACTCACAGTTTAAGCCGGTGTTGTTCGAGGCAGCTGTGCTCGGCTCAGATGTGTGACTTCAAATCTTTTCTACCACTCTGTGGCTTGTCTTTTCATTCTCTTACCAGCTTTTTGGAAGAGCAAATGGGGTTAATATTAGTCACGTCCAGTTTATCAATTTTCTTCTTTTTCAGACCATGCCTTTGGTATTAAGGCTCAACACACAGTCACAATTTTCTCCTGTGTTTTCTTCTGCAAGTTTAAAGCATTCACATTTTACATTTTAGGCCTATGATCAATTTTCATTATATTTTTACACCAAGCGTAAGTTCTGGATCAAGATTCACTTTTTTTTTTCCTGGTACGGACATGTAGCTGCTTCAAATACATTGTCTCCCGAATGTGTCAAAAGTCAGTCGCCTGTATTCCTATGGGTCTATGTGACTATCCTGTTTCATTAAACTGTGCACTTCTATTCCTTTGCCAACATCACATTGTCTTGATTACTGTAGCTTTACAGTAGATCCTGAAGTCAGGTAGTAAAATCCACCAACTTTGTTCACTGTTTTCAAATAGTTTGGGTATTTGAGCTCCTTTGCCTTTACAAAAAAAAAAAAAATTAGAATTAGCTTGTTCAGATTGATGAAACTCTCTTGCTGGGACCTGGATTGGGATCGCCTTGAATCCGTGGATCAGCCCAGAGGTAACTGACATCATGACAATTACTCGACCATAACCTAGAACGTAGTCGAGCTCTCCATTCATTTGCTTTGTTAAATTACTTCCATCAGCATTTTTTATCATTCTCACTATGTACACATCCGTGAGATTTATACCTAAGCGTTCATTTTTCATTCTGTTGTGAATCAAACTTTTAAGCAAAACCTTTTCAGTTTCTATTGTTTTTTGCTACTATATAGAAATTAATTAATTTTGCTGGCTCAGTCAGGTAAGCATCCGACTTCAGCTTAGGTCCATGAGTTCAAGCCCCGTGTGGGGCTCTGTACTGACAGCTCAGAGCCTGGGGCCTACTTCAGATTCTGTGTCTCCCTCTCTTTCTGCCCTTCCCCCACTCATGCTCTGTCTCTCTCTCTTCCTCTCAAAAATAAACATTAAACATTTTTAATAAAATGAAAGAAATGATTTTTTATAATTTTAGACTTACATACTTGAACTTTGCCAAACTCTCTTATATTTCTAGGAGTTTTTTGTATATTCTTGGGGTCTTCTATGTGGACCATCATGTCTTCTGGGAATAGAGACAATTGTATTTCTTCATTTTGAATATGCATTTCTTTTCCTTGCTAGCCACACAGGTAGGACTTCAGTGTGATGCTGAATAGGAACAGTGAGAGAGGACATCTGTATCTTCTTCCTGATGTTTAGCAGGAAGCATTCAGTCTTTTACAATTAAGTATGGTAATGGCTGTAGGTTTTTCATAGATGCCTTACATCAGGTTAAGAGTTTGTTCAATTATTCCTAGTTCACTATAAACTTTAAAAAAATTAAACAGGAGGGAACACACCCCAACTCATTTTATGAGACTTACAATCCTGTGATAACAAAGTCAGGCAAAGACACTACAGGAACAGAAAACTACAAAACAAGTTCCCTTACGAACACTGATGCAAAAACCTTCGACAAAATATTAGCAACATAATAAAGGGATTATACACCACAACCAAGAAGGACTTATTTCTGGAATTCAAGGATGGTTCCACATATGAAAATCAGTCAATATAATACCCAACATTACCAGAATAAAGAAAAGAGCACATGATCATCTCAATTGATACAGAAAATGCATTTGACAAAATTCAGCAACCTCTCATGATAAAAACACTCAACAAGTTAGGAATAGAAGGCACTACCCGAACATAATAATGTGAAAATCCGACTGCAAACCTCATACTCAACAGTGAAAGAACGAGAGTTTTTCCTCTAAGATCAGGACAGGCAGGGATGCCTGCTTTCACTGCTTCTATTCACCACAGTACTGGAAGCTCTAGGAGAATAGTTAGACAATAAAATAAAGTAGTCCAAACTGGAAAGGAAGAAGTAAAACCACCTCTGTTCACAGATGCTATGATCTTATATGTAGAAAACCCTAAGGACCTGTTAGCACTAGTAAGTGGATTCAGAAAAATAGCAGGATACAAAGTCAAAATTCAGTTGCATTTCCCTGCACTATAATTTTCCAAAAGGAAATTATAAAAACAATTCCACTTACAATTGCATCAAAAAAAGAATAAAATAAAATGAATTAACAACCATGGAGGTGAAAGGCCTGTACAACAAAAACTATAAAACACTGTTGACAGACAGTAAAGAAAACATAAATAAATGGAAAGACATCCCATGTTCATGGATTGGAAGACTCAATGTCGTTAGGATGCCAATATTATCCAAAGCAATCTACACATATAATGCAGTCACTCTTGAAATCTCAGTGAGGTGTTTTATAGAAACATAAAACTCCATCCTTAAATTCACATGGAATCACACATAGCCAAAACAATCCTGAAAAAAAAAAAAAAAAAAAAAAAAAAAACAAGACTCCCACTCCCTGATTTGAAACTACAAAGCTACAGGGAGGCAAACCATAAGAGACTCTTAAACACAAAGAACAAACTGAGGGTAGATGGCGGGGGGGGGGACATGGGGGATGGGCACTGAGGAGGGCACCTGTTGGGATGGACACTGGGTGCTGTATGTAAGCAAGGAATCATGGGATTATACTCCCGAAGCCAAGAGCTCACTGTGTACACTGTATGTTAGTTAACTTGACAATAAATTAGATTGATAACAACCTACAAAGCTACAAAAATGGACACAGGGCGATGCTGTGTTCATAAAACAGACATTTGGACCAACGGAGTACATTAGAGTCCAGAAATAAACATATTAGGTCAATCAAGTCATTTTTGAAAGGGCACCAAGTCCCTTCAATGGAGAAATGACAGTCTTTTCAACAAACAGTGTGGGCAAAACCCACTATCCCCAAGGCAAAAGAAGGTAAGTGGGCTCTTCCCTCACACCACATGCAAAACTGAACTCAAAATGGATCCATGACCTAAATGGAAGACCGAAAACTATAAGACTCTTAGAAGAGAACACAGGACAAAGGCTTTGCAACACTGGATTTTGCAATGGTTCCCTGGATGTGACACCCAAGGCACAGGCAACATAAGAAAAATACAAAAATCGGCTCTCGTAAAAATGTTAAATAGTTTGCATCAAAAGGCAGCACCAATGGAGATGAAAAGGTAACCTCAATAAAATGGGAGAAAATATTTGAAAATCATGTGTCTGATAAGAAATTAATATATAAAATGTATAGAGAATTCCTAAAACTCAACAACAGAAGACAAAACAACCCAATTCCAAAATGAGCAAAGGACTTGAATAGACATTTTTCCAAACAAAAGTACAAATTATGTGGCCAATAAGCATGTGAAAAGAGGCTCCACATTACTAATCATTAGAGAAACACAAATCAAAACTACATTGAGAAACCACCTTACATCCATTAAGATAAGAATGTATATCATATATAACCTAATATTTATATAAATATAAGTACAAGGAGATAACTATATATATTACAAAGAAAAGAATATTCATGTAAATGTAAGCACAATGAGGAGATAGCATACGTAATCCATATATGTAACAAGGAGAAAATAACAAGTGTTGACGAGACGTGGAGAAGTTGAAGCCTTTGTGGAATATGAAATGGTCCAGCTACTGAGGGAATTTGTGTCATGGTTCTTCAAAAAAGTAGTGGTGGAATTACCACACGATCCAGTAATTATAGCGGGTATAGACCCAGAAGAACTGAAAGCAGGGATTCAAGGAGACGCTTGGACACGCACGCTCACAGCACCATTATTCGCAACTGCTAAGATGCAGACTAATCGAGGTGCCCATCAGCAGACAGATGGACAAGCAGATGTGGTCCATCCATACTGCGGACTATTATTCAGCCCTAAGAAAGGAAGCAAGTCTGGCTAGAACACGGACGAGACATGAGCACACTAGGCCGGGTAAAGAACGATTCCACTTGTGTGAGGAGCTTCAGAGACCCGAAGCAGAAGGGTGGGTGCCAGGCCGGGGAGGGGAGATGGGGAGGTCCGTGTTTCATGGGGACCCGGTTTCATTTCTCGGAGATGAAGAGTCGTGGGGGCAGAGGGTAGAGACGGCCGCACAGCCCTGTGAATGGACTTAACACCACCGAATGACACACTTAAAAATGGTCACGATGGTAAACTTGATGTTACACGTATTTTGCATCAACAAAAACAGATTAGAAAAACAACTGAGCAGTCACACCATGAGGAGACACAGGGGACTTAGACCCGCCTGATGGCAGGAGAAGGTCTGGAATGTGCCATACGGTTCCAGACTCATGGCATTCTGGGAATGACTCAACATGGAGACAGCAGCCCAGCGGTGCCAGGGGCTGGCAGAGAGGGGCATGAGCGGGCCGAGCACAGCGGTTCCGGGGCGGGGGGTGGGGGGTTGACGCTCTGTGACGGGTCTCTTCTCCAGCATTCTGCCCGCAGCATTGGCTGCCTGGGCTTCTCCCAACCCCCAAGGCCATCTAGGAAACTCGGTGTCCTTGGAGTCCCGTGGGGTTCGCCCCTCTGCAGGGGGCTGGAAGCCCTGTCCAGGTGGTGAGGGTGCCCACAGTGACAAGAGCCTTGCACATCTCTCCCGCAGGTGCACTGGTTCTGTGCGCCTCGGGCCCATGACCTTGTCAATCTGAGTTGGCCCGGGTGGGAAGGAATCCAGTCCCCATCACCCCATCTTGCCTGGGGCACTGCCTCCCCCGCTCCGTCACCTTTCCGCTAACCGGGTAGAGCCCACAGGACCCCAGTGCCACCCCAGGCCCATGGACGCTGTGCTGCCTGGAGCCTCCAGACCCTCATCTGGGGGCAGTTTGTCCAGATGGGGCGGTGGGTGGACACGGGCCAGGGGATGAGAACCCCCAGACCTGGGAAGCCCTGGGCACCCGGCCCAGCAGCACGAGCTTCCTGGGTGAGGGCGGAGTCCCACCCCGCGGCCCCGCCCACAGGAGTTAGGCCCCGCCCACAGGAGTTAGGCCCCGCCTCTGGGGCCGCTCCGTCCCCGGGTTCCAGAAATGTTCCAGGCTGGGGGAGACTACGTCTGGGCAAAACCCTGGGATCCCCCACCCCCTTGAGGGTCGGATGGAAGGAGGCAGATCGGCCGGTGAAGTGAGTTTATTGGGGTGCCCGAGGAGGGGCTGACAGGTGGGAGGTGGGGGCCAAGCGACCCCAGCAGAGAAAGGGGGAGGG